GAGAGAGAGAGAGAGAGAGAGAGAGAGAAGGAGGGGGAGAGAGAGCGCGAGAGAAGGAGGGAGAGAGAGAAGGGGGAGAGGTTGAAAGAATAAGAGAGGGGTGAACGAGTCTGTATGTGTGCATGCGTGTGAGAGCGAGTGGTGAGAGAAGCTGACGGACGAGGCGAAAGTGGTGGTACACAAGGGTTCAGTGCTGGACGTCGCGAAATCCCGCGAACAAGTGCCGACGAGCTCGTGTCGCGAAGTGATCGTACTGCCGTACAAACCGAAACGTGTGTATCCTTGATCAGTAAGATCAGTCAACGCGAGTGCACGTAACCGGGGAAGAAGGAGCCGAGGAACAGTTTAGAAAGGAAGGAGAGGAACATTGGTGGTGAAATCGGTGATAGAGACTACTCTCTCACGGTAGAGGCCAGCGAACGCGGATTTTCAGTCTTCCAGGAGTGGAAGAATGGCAATGGCAATGAGTAGCCTACTAAACGGCAAGGACTCGCGGTGGCTGCAACTGGAGGTTTGCAGGGAGTTCCAGCGCAACAAGTGCACCAGGCCCGACACAGAGTGCAAGTTCGCCCATCCGCCAGCTAACGTCGAGGTGCAGAACGGACGGGTCACCGCCTGCTACGACAGTATCAAGGTAACGAACCGTTGCATAATCGAGTTTTCGTACTCGCGCGTAACGAGCGCGTTCGCGTGGAGCAGGATCGCCGGCCCCCGCGCACGACCGATAAACTTCATCTTCACTTATCTGACACCTTCGGAAAGCCGACGAAAGTTATCTCTAGTATTTCGATCAAGCGTGAATCGTTCTATCGCTATCGTTGCCAAAATCGTGTTGTTTATTCTTTTCAGTCGATTCCAATTCTGTTGGATAAATGAAGTTATAATGTACAATTTAATATCATTTTTCTTATTTTTATCTATAAACTATTAGTAAGCTTTGCTACTCTCTTCAGTGAAATAATAATTATTGGCAATTGCATCACACGATAACTACAGTCAATACATAAAGTTATTTATAATATTATTGCCGTCGTAATCTCGGAAAATGCGATGAAAAACGGCGGGAAATAATTCTGCTTGATACACAAAGGTGTGTAGTGCACTTTGATCTCTGTATGTCAGCAAAATATTTTAAGAGAGAGAGAGAAAAATTAGGCTAGTGGTATTAACTTTGAAAAGAGAAGTCTTTTGAAGTTGATGTTCAAGAAATTTATCGACAAACAATTGCGAATCTATGAATATTGAAGCTCATGTTTGCAGATTATTTTCTTTGACATCAGATGCATTTTAAAGACTTTTTATCGTGGCGTAGAGTTATTCCACACTCTTTCTATTTAACTGCAATCGATCTAAATGCACACACACACACACGTGTACGTACGTCGCGAGATCGTCGATCGATCTCTTACCTGCGCTTTCCGATTGCTGATCTCCCGATACAAAGCCGATAATTTGTAACGCCACGCAGCGAGATAAGGAACCGGTTGTAATTTACGGCGGGTAATAAGTCTCTTATCGCCGATCAAGCGCGCTATCGGCGCTCTCCGGGGGGGGGGGAGACGCTGGTTTATGGATTTTAGAATATTCCGTCTCGGGTACGCGTTCGCGAAGCAAAGCGCGATTAAATGAACGCGAGAAAGAGGGAGACAGGAGCGCGGGGGGCGCGGCCTGCCGTCTTCCGAGCGTCTCGGCAGATATTGAACTGGCGAATTGAATTCGCAGTTATTAATAGCGACAATTATTCAACGCGCGGGGAGTGAGAATACCAATCGACATGGGCGATAAATCAGACGCGTCGGGGCGGGGCGGGGGGAGGGTGGGAGAGGGGCACTGAGTATTATGTAAAAATTGAAGGAGACTCTCTCGCATCGACGTCGACGATGCCGCCGCCGACGGTGCCGTATTGTCTGATAGCACTTATACACGCACGCTTGCGATTAGATAAAACGGAGAGAAATGTGCATATATATGACACACGTGGGGCGCGGCCATGTAATCGCGAATACATGTACTGGTGTAACGTCGATATACTCTTCCGCAATAAACTTTGTCGTTATCTTCTACGATAAACGTAGATTATATATGAAAACGAAGATTGTCAGAGATGGAACATAGTACTTTTTGCGATATAACGGCCACTCGATAAGCCTGTAGATTTCATGACTGAGAAATGACGTATCGATTGATATTGATATTACCATCGCAGGATATGTATATCTACAAATTTTACTTTAATGAAAATTTTAATACGAAAATTTGCATTAAATATTTTACGCTAGCGGAAATTGTGCGTTAAATCAACTTGTGTGTATTTCATGACTATTTAAAATCTCTCTTTAAAATTGTGAAAATCGGACTCGTTCATTTAAATATATTATATGCGCGAATTCTAATGTGAGGGTACATTGAAAGTCCCAAGTTTTTTATTAAAAAGTTTTTTTATTAATGTTAATTGTCATTAACATATTGTTCCAAAAGATAGTAGGTAAAATTAATGTTCTCAGTTATGAATTATTGAAATATTGTTTTTCGCCTGCTACCATTAGAAATATTTAAAATATTTCTATACTTTATTTATGCATTTAATATACGTATTTTAAGTTTTTAGTTTAGTAATATTTTATCTTTACGTATCTGACTCAATATCTTGTTTAAATTAACTTTTCATTAAAGTAATTTGTAATTAGATTTTTGCATAAAATTATAACTATTTGTCCGAAATTCGTCAGATGATCTAGTTCCTATTATTATTTTGTTGTTATTACTGAGAGATGTGGTATACATAGACTCGTTTTCGCGATTGCAATTGGTAATTTTTGTCTTATGCATTAATGCGCAATGCTACTCCTCGTTTTTCAGACTCGGTCGCAAACGTATATACGCATAAACGCGCGATTAGATAACAGGTGACAAAAAGATAATGTTCACGGGGAGCGGCTTACGGCATGTTATCTGAATATTCTCGAGAAGCGCTTACGGTCGATTCGTTCTTCGGTAGAGAAACATATACCCACCTACACATGTGTACTCCGTGCACAATCGTGTGCACGAGTCGCGACGAGTAGGACCGAGCCACATTTAATTCTGGAAGCTATTAATGTCGCGGGTAGTGCCTGAAAGACCGCCTTGTCCGTCGAACTTCGGTCGTTTCTTTGCCTCTCCGTTCCTCTCGCACGTTCTTCCTCAATAATGGCGCTCGTTACGTTTAATCGCTCCGAATGAATGGAGCGACGCGCGCTCGCGCATGTACGCGCCATAGCCTTTATACACGGTGGCCGGAAGGAGGTGCCAGCAGTTAGCGATACATATGCGTTATCGAGTGAATTTCGAGTAAGTCCTACCTAAGCGAAAATTTGAACACATATTATTTTATTCCCCGGATCATTGGAGAAATTTAATGGAGTTTATTGCAATTGTTGGCTTTACGTATTTAAATCTTTATGCATTATAGAAAATTGATAAATATGGTAGTGGAGTTTAAATTCGAATTCTGTAAAATTAATCCAGAAATATAGAGATTTCAGTAACGCACTTGCTTCCCTCAAAAATTAATTAATCGACGACATTTTTGTGCCTTTTAGCCTCGATATTTCTGATAAAAAAGTTTTTCAAATTTTTGATGGAGAGTAGTTTGTGTGGAAAAACTGAATTGTCCTGCATACACCACGAAAAGAGGCATGCACGCGCGCGAGTGATACTCATTTTAGGATTTGAACCCGGTGCGAAACGTTGTTAAGAATTTTCGCGGTATATAAGAAAAAGCCAGAGCTTTCGAGAGCGCCGATATTACTCCGAAGAAATATTAGCAATAAACCATTGCATTACGTACACCGGATCTCGACTGCCTGCCGGCGTTCCCGAAGTCTCCTATGGAGTCCGTCTCGTTTCTTGCGCCGTTTAGGTGCCAGAAACGCGGCTCTCCTCGCATTTCGCCGATGAAATAAAGGCTCATTTTTCGACTGGGAAATAAAGGAGAGTGGCTATCGCCATTTTCCACGTCTTATCGCTTCTCTCCCGGCGCGGATAGTATCTCCGGGCAAAAGCTAGATTAATTTCACATGGTGGGCGGAGAACACAGACATAGCTTGATTCTCGGTCGCGCGAGCGAGTCATTTGTGTGTTTGCACCGATTCGACTGCAATGTTGTATTCAATACCTCGTACTTAGCTTTTATTCGTGCCGCGGAATTCGCGCCCTTTGTCGTTTTGCCGGTACGTGCCCGATAAGAGAGAATCTATTGTTATGTTAACTAGAAGAATTACGCACTGCAAAATGGAGAAATACTGTGCTAACGGCTCTCCGTAACTTTGCACGACACAAAAACCGCTAATGATTATGAACGTAGTCTGCAAACTTCTCCATGTTTAGTGTCACGAAATGTTGGTTGTATGCTATTTTTTTAAATATTTGTGTGATGTCAAATTCTCTCTTTTTACTGCGATCCCAAGTTACTCTCACCGATGGTATTTTATTTTATTTTATGATATTACAAATTTGCACAAAATTATGAACTTATTACTTATTATTGTAGGATATGAAAAGAGCTTAAAAATAATTGATGGAAAACTAATCGGGTAAAATGGAAAAAAAATAGAAAGAAAAAGAGAAGAGAGAACAAAAAAATTGTATAATGCTATATTTAACGCAATACATTGGACGTTCAATTTTTGGAGCAACATTTACAATTTCTGATGTAATTTTGTTCATTATAAAACTAAATAGTTTTGAAATACGATTCGGGACTTTCAAGCGGGATTATTCGATACAACTCGTTGACTGTTTCCTCGTTACATAAACGGGCTTCAAATGTATTTATTCCCTACAATGTGATACATCGAACTACTGTGAAGCGCAACGTTTTGTTCACATGCGTTAAAAACGTAATTCGTGTAGCGATAAAAAGCACGACTAGTTACAGACGACAAACATTTTTTCATTGATTTGTCATTGTTACCGGCTGATTTCGCATCGCGCCGGATATAGACTTTACTTTTTTTTTTACTTTGGTAATTTTAACAGACTGACAAGTTGCATTCTAAGAGAATATTTAACGATGCTTGCTCTGTCGTCAGAGTTAGTGAGCAATGAACAGACTTATATCTATCTATATATTACATAAGCAAGATTTAAATATTTATTCTCAATATAATGTGATATATTTATCGATATTGTTACCTTGATATTTTAATTAATTAAGGAAAATTTGAACTCAAGCCAATGAAAGAATGTGTAATTAAAATTAAAATCGGAATTCTGGTATAGAGTGCGAGTGCGAATTTTACTGGATAAGCGAAGTAGGCGCGCGGTTACGACAGCGTAGGAAAAATACGAAACGAAACCGGTCGTTAAACCGTTTTTGCTCGGTCGTGGCGTTACGCGCGATGTTACGATCCTGTCTATCGTCGCGAAATTTGCACGTTCAATTCCAATTAGGCCGATTGGACAGCGCGGCGCGATATTAAAGTAGATCTCCAGTTTAATCGCCGTTTCGTTCTGCGCCCTCTATCGTCGATTTCTGCCCCGACCGACGCGCTCGTACACCGACGTCGACGTCTATATTTAAAGGAGAATATGACCGGGTTAGATGCAGCCAAGTTCTCTTCAGCGTCGCCAGTATGAAGTGCTCTACGTCGC